CGAGTGAACTTACATAGATGTGCAGGCTCTGAACTTGGGTATTGATCTGCCTTGTTTCATGAAGACTGTGATCGTGTTAATGAGCTGTGCTTTTGATACCTGAACTTCCCAGAGGGCAGCTGGTATGTTGTCCAGCAATGTCATCTCAAGTGTTGCCTTGTCATAAATCTTGAGTAAGTCTCTAAGCATGTGTTAGTTATTTGTTTAAAGCACAGTGCTATTGTAAAAGGTAAATGCTACGGAAATTTTGTCTTACAGTAACAGGGGTCGAACCTGAATGAAACGTAGACAGTGTTGGTGCAGAACCCGACAAAGTTGTGTGCTCCTCAGCTTCTCCCAGTTCCTGGATTCAGAGTTGTTAATGTTTTTCACTCTAATATGTACTTGTTCAGCTTTCTCACTCACCTGATTGCAAAGGGAATCTTTCTTATGTACTTTGTGCAAAGGTATTCTTTTGAAAAACTAAGTTCTTGTATTTGTACTAAATAAAAATAAACTTTTCTTGTCCTTTCACAAATGTAGTCTATGTTGCACTGGAGGCAAAAACGTTTATCTAAAGCTGTGCATTTTTTTCATTGAGAGGTGAGCTATTTTGTGGGGAGGGAGAAAAAAGTACTACTGGGTTGTCGTGGTTTGACCCTGGCCAGCAGCCACGTTACCCACACAGCCGCTCTCTCACTCCCCCTTCTCCTTCTATACCAGGGGAGAAAATATTTCAAAGGGCTCAAGGTTTGAGCATTTTGCCCATCCTGGGCAAAACAGACTCGATTTTGGGGAAATTAATTACATTTACTAAGAGAACAAATCAGAGAGGAGTAGTGAGAAGTAAGAAAAAAAAACTAAAACAGATCTTAAAAGCAGAACATCTTCCCCCTGTCCCTCCCTTCTTCCCGGGCTCAACATCAATCCTGGTTTCTCCACCGCCTCCCCCCAAGCGACGCAGGGGCCCCCCCGGGGGGGGGGGGGGGGGCGGGGGAAGGGGGGTTATGGTCAGTCCGTCCGACGTTGGTTCCACCGCTGCTTCTTCACGCCGGAGGAGGACTCTTCACTCTTCCTCAGGGTCATTGTGGGGTCCCTCTCACGGGAGCCAAGCTTCACGCTCTCTTCTCCAGTGTGAGTTGTCCCATGATGGACATTTTGCGAGGCAAAGAGCATAAAGCAACCAAAGTGCAACTGTGTTGATTAGAGAAAAAACTTCAGTAACTTGATATTGGATGCATGTGCTTTTAATTGGGAGCACTGAGCTCTAAATTGTGTAAGACAGTTAACTTTATGTTGAGCTACTTGGCGTATGACGTTTCTAAATTGCTTTTTTAAAACTGAAAGAACTTGTTAATGCCACAAGCAAAGCCAGGCTGTCATTTCGACAAACGAGTTTACCTGAGCAAGATTATCTAGTTACCCCTTCTAAAGCTGCAGTTTTACCTGTACTGCAGTGGTTTACTTGGAGTATGAAGTCTTTAGCATCTTAGATAATGCATGCTTACAAATCTTTCCCAGAGTTACAGCTAGCAGGTGGGGGAAGATGCCTGGAATTGAGGCTTTTGTTGTGCCATAACATAATTAAGGTATTATCCTTTAAGTGCGTGAAAATTCTTTGCCAGTTTTGTTTTTTCCTTCTGTTTTGTTGCATCAGTGCGTTTCCTGCGACTGTGTTCACAGATGTTGGCACATAACACCATTTAGAGCCAATTAAATGCAGCTTCTGTTTTCTGCTTAAATTCTTGTGTATAGTGGAAATCAGCAGAGCTAAAAATTGATCATTAGGTAGTCAGCATTTTATAAGGCCTTGTTTTCTTGATAGCAATATTAAAGAAAGCAAGAATTCTGTCCCTTCTGTCTGCCCAAAAGGTTAAGTTCTGCCTGTGAATTCCCTGGGCAGAAAGACTTTTATCTTCGGAGGAAGCAAGTGATTTTCTGCTTGCCTGCAAAAGACCTGCCTGGAAAAAGACTTGAGGAAGAGATGGTAAGGTGTGCGTGCGGGTGACAAATGATTATCTGTCTGCTGTTTGCTGTGGAACGGTAGGAACACAAACACACCAACAAATACTTGGAATGAAAGTTCACTGGTAAGGGCTGTAACGATTATCAGCCTTAATTCTCTAGTCCTGTGTTGGGGTTTATCCTCTGCTGTAGGAACACAGAATTTCAGGGTTGCCACGTATGGTTTCTTCCCTGCTTGAGTTTTCCTCTTTTAAGCTGAAAAAAGATTTTGTTGCTCAATGTGTTTGCTGCAAGCTGTCGCTACGACTTTTTTGGATGCGGACAAAGAGATTATCTCAGCTAATTTAAGGGATGAAGTGGTAAAGGGTGCTAGTGGCTCGTGAGTTGCAAAAGCATCATCATGAAAGTAGGGGAGGAGGAAGAGCAGCTGTGTGCAGTGCCGGGAGCTGGCGGTGGGGGACAGGGAGGGCAGGTGGGACTGCAGGAGCTGGGGCTCTCCAGTCAGTTTGTGCTGAGCTAGGATGGTGGGAAGTGAGGTGGGGACACACCTATGTTGAGCTGTGCAGTGGTGTCCAGATGTCTGTACTCCGCAGAATGTGATTGAGATGGAAGAGAGGGTGTCAGAAAAGTATTGCAAATTGGATCATGCTTTAGGGGTGAAATTTTCATGTATCATTTCTTTCCATGATTTCTTTTCAAAATACAGTAGTATTGTATTCAATTTATTAGATCAACATGATGAAGCATATTTTTAAAGAAGTGCTAAAAAGAAGCAGTTTTCCTCAGTACTTCTGTGTTGCAGGGAAGCATAGTGAGGAAGGGCAGTGCAGAACAAGAAAATATCCATGAGCTTTAGGCCAAATACTATATGGGAAGAGATGATTTGCTGCAGCGGAGATTCAAGGGAGTAAGCAAGATAGTCATCGCTAGTTAGAAAGTTATTACTCAAAATACTTAACAAACTAAAAGACAAAACGCTTCAACCTTGTTGTTTGTGGGTTTTTTAGTAGTTGTACAAGAATAAGTAGCTGTTCCATGAAAAAGAATGATTTAGGACTTGTAGATGAAGCTGGTTGTCTGCAGATGGAGATGATCTGAGTTGCCCAGCATCTAGCTCACTTTAATAAACATAAATTTCAATATTATTTTTTGGGGGAAATAATTGGCTAAAAAAAATAACTAGCTAAATCCTTTTGCTAAGTTAGTACGTAGATATGGTTAAGATTAGGGTTCGAGCACATATGTGGTAGAGTTTTAAGGTGGTTTTCCCTGAGAAATAGGTATCAGAATTCCATGTGCAACAAGGCAGACTGGCAGTGTGTGCTTCTAGTGATTGCTGGTTAAAATCAAGAACTGACATGTCATGCTGTCCAAAATATCCTGACAGATGTAGCACAGTGCTGTGAAACAGTTTTGGTAAACAACGATTGCTAAATTGCAGTGTAATATCCAGAGGACAGGATTGTATGAATTTGTAGTACTAAGCACGAGATAAAGAAACAGTAGATATTTTTAAAGCATTTTTTGGTTTTGTTCTGGTTTCTCTTTCAAAATCCGAACTATAAGTAAAGAACATGAATGAAGGTGTCATACTTGTCTTCAATTCGGTATGATGTCCTTAACACAAATGACAACTTGGCTTGATCTTTGTACATCCCAAATGCCAGTAAGCTGCTCACACAGCAGCTTGTATGAAAGTGAAGGCTGTAAATATACGACCTTGAAAAGTTTTTTCAGAAGTTTTGTCTTGACAGTAAGGCTTTAATGAAGTGCTACTTAACTCTCCTACTTTTTCCACTAGAGGTAAAATGACAAAAATAAAAGGAATGGGCGTGGTTTGGAGTCTTATGGCTTTGTCTTCATTTCTGTTATGAGGGGTAGGCTGTGATGAAAAACAGATCCCCATTCCAGGCCAGGTTAGAGGAAAGTTGTTCTGTGAGATATAGTGTCTTGTGGAGCCAAATCTTGAGAATCTGGTTTTGGTCTCATTTAAACAAGAAGGCCCCCGTGGCACAGAATGGATCTAATCCCGGTTCAGAGCGTGTTTCTCAAGCTGGGCTTGGCACGCAGTAGCCCTCCAGCTTAGATCTGAAGTTTAGGGGTGGCGCAAGGGAGGACTGGGGTGGTTTTGCCCTTTTTTTGCCTACTTACGCGTTACAGCCAGTATCATGCAACAGAAACACCCAGTTTGGGATTCCCCTCCCCCATGACACTGGGGTACAACATCTTGAGTCGAGAAAAGAGGAAGGAAGTTCAAAACAGCAGCAAATCTCACAGAACCCTCGCAGCTGCCTCGGCCTGGCTGCCAGTCCGCAGCGCCGGCACCTGGGAAACAGATCTTGCTTCCAGGGCTTTGTTACCCATCTTGAGGTCGGCATCCTTGACAAAATTTTGGTTTCCCGTCCTTCGGAGGCGCACAGACTCGCGTGTGATGGCGAGATGGCACAAGACAGACCAGAAGAGCGGCGTGGGTATGTAACTTTGTAATCTGCCATTTGCGTTTTCGTAACTTCTGAACAGGATGTGGGCAGGTGTTTTCTCTAGAGCGATGAGTTAACACCCTCCACTTCACCAGGGTGGCTTAATTGACATTACTGATTTTGTACAACGTTTTAATTTTTTTGGACAGAATGACAAGAAGTATGTGAGCGTCAGCTTGGGAGATATAATCCTTCCACTCCACCCCCCCGAAAATCTCAAACTCCCACAGTAACGCGGTGTTACCCACGTTGGTATTTTAGAAACAGATGAAGTAGTACGTTGTATAATAAGCAGCAGCTGGAAGTCATGGGGAACAACTGTAGGGGAAGGGGAATCCTACAGTTCCTTCTGAGAAACTGTCACCTTGGGTTAGAGAAAAACCTGTGTATGGATTGCTAAGTAATATGTTTTGGAAGGAAAGTCATCTTCCAACATGTATTTTTCTTGAAATGCATGATGTTGCATAAAGGACTGAATTGGTATTTTTAAAAAACTTTTTAAAATTGGGAATCAAAGGTAAAGCACTTGAAAGAAACATCCTGCTCGTTAACTGCAGGTTCTCAGTACAGAAGATACTTAATCTGCTACTACTTGTGTTTTATTTTACCTACTAGTGCACAGTTATTAACCTGGAATCCCTGAATTCTTCTAAAAGACGTTTTTAAGAAGGCCATAGCATTTTGTGATACATATTAAAAGCAAAAAAAAAAAAACCCAAACCATCCAAGTAGCTTCATGAAATAAAATGAATCATCAAGGAATTAATAAAAGGGAAAGAAAGTTTGTTCAACTTGCATGTGCAGGAGTGGTAGAACTGTCAAATGCAAGTACCCCGTTTTTTGTGGCAGTTTATACTGCAACATAAGTAGTGTAAATATTTTCTGTTTTGTTTTTACAAATAGAAGAAAGTACTTAATTTTTGTACTTGTTTTTCTGAAAGCTATTGATTTTGGAGAATGCTGTGGGGATTTGTTAGATGTGGCCTCTGCATCCTGATAATACTAAGAGATGTTAACTCGTATATGGATAAAAGCATTAGATACTCATCATAAAAGCGTTAGATACTCTTCAGTGATTCACAGGAATAATGTAAAATGAGCTTCACTAGTAGCAGCTTTTTACAAGGAGCATTTTGGATTGGAGTGATCTTTATGTACTTGCAAAACAGATTTGCTCCTCTTGCTCTCTAATTTTTAACATTTCGGGGGCCAAATAACCTGACCTGCTGTTAAATGGGAGAGAGTCTCGTCATTTTTCTGCACCCACCCCTGCAGTGGATCACCCGATGGGGTCTGAGCAATGCAGGTCCCCTGAGAAGACCTTTGGCTGGGACGTGTCTGCCTTTTGTTGAAGGGTCAGCTTGCCATGCTGGGTTTACAGCGAGGTTTTGCCTCTTTGTAACTTCACAGTGGCTGTGATCAACAAGTACACAAAAAGCTGGTAGGATCAAGTAATCTCTCTGCTCTTTGGAAGGTGCAGTGAACCACACGGTATGAAAAAAACCTCATGGAATATATCACTTCAGAAACTAATGACCCTCCAGCCAAGTCTGTTTTCATGAATACTACAATACATTTTGACTGAACAATTCATTGCACTGTCTGACTTAAAAGACGATATTCAGACTATGCACTTCTGCACAGCAGTACTTTTCTACCCCGGACCTAAGACCATTTATTTCAAAATAGTAAGCTTTTAGCTGAATCGCTTATTGCATAAAAGGGAATCGTATGGTAGAAAGTAACATTTAATGGCAGTACTTTGATACTGTTAAGTTTAAACTGCCATAAAAACAACAATAAAAAACCCTGAGATTTTGAAAAGAAACCTCAGAAGGGGACAAGGTTTTATTTGATCTGGCAGTGGGTCAGTGCTATTCAAATACTGTCAGCTCTAACAGCTCTGGCATTCATCTTAGAGTACGTAGTATGTGTGGCTTGTAGGTGATACCAATGCAATCGCTACTATGTCCAGGTACTGCCTCCCGACATGCAGCCTGCTGCAAATACTGCTTCTTGGTCTCTCGCCCCTCTCCCCGGTAAGGCTGTCGTCTCCTTCAGGCTGGTGGTTTGGGTTTACAACAGAGACTGGAATCACATGAAGCCTGCTGGTTAAAACAGCTCCTGTGCTGAACATGCATTTGAAGTGCTCGTGTTAGTCCCTTCACCGAGTGCTCTGCTCTCTGTTGTATCATGGGGACCAGGACTCTGGAGACTTGGGCGGTGTCCAGGTGCCAACACAGTGACTGTAACTTGTGGATGAGGGATTAGAACTAACTGAAAGACTGATGTGTTGTCCTATAGGCATTTAGGACATCAGTGTGACAAAGAGTGAAGATGAGGGCAAACCAAAACCCCATCATGTTTCTATTTAATTTGCAAGTTTAAAAAACTTGTTTCCTGCTGCAAATTAAGAAGTCTCACTCACTGTACTGTTGAGATTAGCTCAAGGAAGCAAATGGCCAGAGAATGTGAATAATGAAAACAGATTATCAAGAGCCCCAAGTAGGAAACTGTGCAATTGGTTATCTGTAAGGAACTTTGCTAGTGTTAAAAAGCAGAAAATTTTATCAGGGTTTTGATAAATTTACCTAAATACGTAAAGGAAGTGATATAGCTAGTTTGTGAAGCAGCAGATAGGCTTCTGCTTTATACTCTCATAGTCATCAAAGATGATACCTTTTCCTTTGTATGTATTAAAAAAAAGTGAACTGGGTTAGCCACAAAGTAACGTGCTCAAGAGCAAAGGCTGTGCAACCTTGCCTGTGCAGGACTAGCAAGGGGCCAAATTAGATCAGGCCTGTTGCTTATAGAAATAGTTCTTTAAGTTTTAAGGCTGTGAGGCCCAGGGTAAATATATTTACTTGGTAAAGTTTGCAGCTGGCAGATATCAGGTCTTAAGGAATGCATGGCACGAAACAGTTCAAAACTGGAACCTGACAGCAGCTCTTCAGCACTGTCACATTTACTTTGAATATGCATTCCTTCTACTGCACCCACTGTAGCCGTAATGGGCTTTTGAACGGCTCCACAAATCCGTTTAGATACGTCCTTCATGCCTTTCAGACTTGTTGTTGAAGAAGGGTAGGGGTGATTGTGCTTTCCAGTGGGAAGTCCAAAGCAGAATATCCTTTAAGATGGAGAGCAGGTCACTGGGGAGAACAGCTGCTGCAGACCTGGTGGTGTTTCCTGAGCCCTGTGCTTGCTCCCTGCTGATCTAGGCTACGAGCATGTGTGTGGTTTTGATGTAAAAGAGTATCTGTGTAGGCTGTGCCCTCGTGTGTAGTCACAGTGCTACCACTTGTTGCTTTTCTGCTCACCCCAAGTAAATCCATTTCCTAGGTTAAACTAAGTTTTACTATTTAATGTTAAACATTGTATTATAAGACCTGTTATAGTTGTATGCAAAACAAGATCACAATCTAAGCAGTGTCTGTAGTTTAGTCTGTTACAAGGCAGAACAGGGAAACAATAATCAAACATCCTTTCCAACTAATAGAGGATTACATATAAGTACTCATAACTTTTTCTTGTAGGTAATCTCCAGTAAGGAGTACTCAATTTCTTCTTTTGCACAATTGCTTTAATAGATACCTACAAATTCTGTAAGCTAGAGTTTATACCCAGGAGTTCCTGTTCTTAGCCAAGCTGTTGGCTCAGTCTGTTTTATTTTTCTTTATCTTGAAAACTAAGTGTATTTATTCTTTCACTATGTAAATTGGTGAGAATCTTTCACCCAGCAAATGTTTTGTGGTTGTTTTTTTTTAAAAAAGAAGTCACAGTTTGTACGGGAAATGGTATCAGTTACAGCTGACAGAAGACATAATTGGATATAATACTCAAATTTTCGTTCACAGTAAATTCAAACAGTAGCAGATGTGGTAGTTAAGGTGTCTGGTGCTGTAGATAATACATCTGGATGTAGCTGACAGTCTTAGGTTGCTTGATTGTTTACAGAGGTTCTTGCAATGCTATATTTGAGTTTATTTCTTATCGTAAAATATCTGGATAGGTCTAGAGCTTACCACTTTGTAAAGGAATTTGTCAAACTCATCCTGCCAAACAACCCAAATCCTGAAATAAAATCTGTCTTAAATTTCCACTTACTCATTTAGAAAAGTCTTAGCCGATATAGCCACTTCCTTTTCCAGTTTGTTACTGCACTTTTAAATATACTATTTGCTGTCAAATTGTTTGTAAGAGAGCAAAACCAATAGGCAATGTGAATATATAACTTGTTAATTTGCATCTCTGTTTTGAAACAAATACAAAGGTGAGTAGAGCAGTGCATATTTTGAAATAGTAATCCTGATCTGCACGGTCATTTCGGGAGAACAGTAAGAACACCACTCCTCCCCTCCTCTCTGCCCCTGCACTCTGGTGGAAATATCTCTTTAAATGTCACGATAACTCAGGACTGTTGTCTGTCGTCTTCTATTTCTTGAAATCTGTGTCAAGACTAATGAAAAGAAGCCAGTCAGAATATTACTCATCCAGTGTACAGGCCTTCTTCTGAAATTTGGTTTCGTGTTGAGCTAAGGCAGTGCTCTGAGGATCGCTGAGGAAGTGCCTTGAATAAATGCCTGAATCTGGACAGCAAAGCCTCAGCTCAAAGTTGAGGGGTTTCTTGGGGTTTTTTTTTGGCTTTTGTTTTTAATTCCCCCGACATGTTTAATGATCCAAGCCTTGCTCTATCCAGTCAGGAGGAGGAATTGGTGGGAAGGCCTCTGCATGTCAGCAGAAATAAGATGTTATTTTTGCTCTAATAAGCCTCTTAATTAAATCTGAAATTCCTTCTAATTTCTGTTTTGGAAATACAATGCATGTAATGATGGCAAAAGAAACAAGAACCACAATTTATGGAACACTTGAAAAATTGAAGAGGATGAATCTATTCAGTTTTACGTTCCTACCATTGGCACTTTCATGAAAGGCAATTTAATTTGAGACTTTTAAGCATAATTGTAAGTAAAATGGTCTTGCAGAGATAAATATTGTGCTGTAGAAACCTGGAGTGGGGAGCAAAAGGAATGTGGGCATATGCTGAAGGCAGGCTCAGCTTTCTAGATCAGTTTAATCCCAGACAAAACCCAGGAGTTTGGCTGCTCTGTATGTGTGGATGGACTGGGATGCCGTCTCGAGAAAGGGAAGAAAACTCTGCTGACTGATTTCTTTACTGCACAACAGAGGTCATGGTTAGTAGCTAGTGTGCTGTTCCTAAGCCTATGGGTTAACTATTATTTCAGGTTTACATATTTTAATCAGTTCCCCTGCGTGACACTAGCTTTGACAACCACTTCGAGTCTGTAGTGCTACTGTAAAAGTCTGTAACCAAGCCCATGAAGAAAAAATATACAGAAGCAAGTGCTTACCATAGCAGCCCACATTCTGGAGCCCTAGAATGTAAGAACTCTGAAACGTTTCCTAACCACATATAGATACGCTTCTGATAAGAACACTTCTAAAATCTGCTGCTCCAGGGTTCTTTTAAGAGTGATTAAATACAGAAGATTATGAAACCTTCTACTGTTTCCATATAAAACAGAGTTTCATGTTAAGCTGAAGCATCTAAACCCAGGAAAGAATTCAATGAATTCAGTTTTCCTACATGTCTCTGCACCAGTGTTGTCATAAATTCCTGTTACTTGTGCACTTATATTCTTAGTCAGACTGGTAGACTAACAATTCTCAGCACAGCGAACAGGTGTATATTGAAGACCTGCTATAAATAGGTGCTTTTAACTCCTGTGCAGACCTGTTGTTACGAATGGCTTGTTTTCATGCAATGCTTTTGTGTGTTTTCAGCACTGGCTACTTTGAACACCTTTCCATTTTCACAAGAAACGAGATTACACAATGGTAACAGATGAAGCTTCTTGTTCGAATTAGAGTTCTCTTTGTTTATTCCAGTGTATTTATGTTAGCATCAGAATCTTAATAACCAGGTGTGTTTTTCATTTTAACTGTAGTCTATGGCTGTATTGCTAAACAATATTTTTATCCTGTAATTTTTCAGCTATATACAATTTCAAAGGCACAGGATTGCCACAACTGCCTCTACAGGTTGGTGATGTGGTCCACATCTTGGAGTCCTGCGAAGGTAAGTCCGTTGCCTTAAGGCTACAGGTTCCCCCATGTGAACAACTTTAACTTCACAGCCATTCCCTGTGTTATGTAAGTAGTTGTTTAATGCTCTTATTTGTGTTGGTGGTGGTGTTCTATTTTGAGGAAGAACCTGTTCATTTTTGGAGAGCCCAAATCAGACATGTTACAGTACATGTGGGTTTTTGGGGGAAGCCATTACCAAAAGAGGAAGTTATCAAGGTGAATATAGAGTTTATGAAGTTCATGCCAGCTTGTAATATACCTGAGGGAAGTTACGTTAGATTTCATTGAAATTTTAATGGAGTAAGTTTTTGTCTCTAAATGAAACATTTTTTGCTAGGAGATATTCAGCACACTAGTCACTCTGTAGTATAAGCTGGAAATCCAGAATGTTCAAGTAGTCCATAGGTCAGCATGACAAAAGCACTTCTGAAAACCATCCAACTTACTCAATACCTAAACAACAATCCAAGTCAAGTCATGCATGACAGACAATCAACACGCTGATCCAAACTTCCATAGTTGGTATGTGGAGATATCTGAACAACTGGCCTAAGTCTAAAATAAATACAGGCAGCAGAACGGTAAGCAAACATAAAATTTTGGTCGTTTGTGGTACTGAATTCCTTGTCCATTGTGCAACAATAGTGTATTTCTCCACACTGATTTGATTCCTTCACAACCTGACTCAAATCTCTCCCAAGTGTGCCAGAGATACTTAAGTTTTTACTAGCATAAAGCAACAAGTGTGTAATTACTAGTCCTAACTCAACAGTTAGATTTCTGCAAGCATCATTGTAATAGTAATTCATTTTCAATCTGTAGTGATATTCTTGACCAGGTAAGAGATTAAAAAAATTATCAAGTCCTTCAAGCTTCGCAAAAGCATTGTAATATTATCTTCTTCAACCTACTTCCCCTGTCTGTCAGTTATTAACTGTAGTTACATTACAGAGAAAGGCCAGCTGCTGCATTAGGCAGCTACAGAGACAGGCTGGTGTTGAAAGACCGATTTTTACATGTTGGGGCCGTAAGAATCTGAAGCTGCCTGAGCACAGCCCATTCCACTTCCCTGAGCTCTAAGTTATTTTGCATGGAAACTATAAAGTATTTGAGAGAAGAATATCTGAGAAGCCAACATTTTTCAGTACAGAAACTTATTTTTTTCTTCTGTTTGTAAGTTAAATTTAATAACTTTAATCAGTAGTGAAAATACTGATGTCACTCATTAGACTATTTGTCACCAGATGTATCCCTCAAAGTCATGAGTAATGATTTGCCTCCTCTCCTGAAAAAAAATGATTCTTTAATCCGGCAATCTAAACATTTTTTGGCTAAGAAAAGATACGCTGGCAAATAAGAAACCTCCTCGTTCCCGCATTGTCTCTCTTAATTGCAGAAAGAGCATTTCAGGTTTCTGACTCCTATGGTGTGTTTGTCAGGTTGTCAGCCCAGCCTGTCAAGTTGAGCAGTGAGCTTATGGGCATATTTTTTGCCTAAAAGTCTTTTCTGAATCTTTTGCCTTTATTTCATAAAGCAAGCTATGATGTTATGTTTGTCAATGAAGAAATGGAGTCTTTCATATTGTGCAAGTGAGGAAGTTAGTCTTTTATCAGATACCTTAAAAACATGTTGCCAGCTGTGGCTGAAGAGTAACCAACAGTAACAAGATTTTTTTCTATGCTCATTTTATGTGCTATTTTAGTTAGTTCTGTGTGCACAAAATATGCGTAAAGACCATACATGTGCAGTCACAGAAAATGGATTTTACCCATTTGGTTGTAAATTGGAGGCTTGTGCAAATAATTCAGTTTTAGAAGTTGGAGTTTTGTTGTTGAGAAGATATTGGAAAAATATCCCAGTGCTGAAAAACCTGGGAAAAAATCTGTCCTGAGTCTTCTTTCAAGGTCAATGATTCACCTGTCAGTTTTAAAATTGCCTTCGTCACTGTTTGGAGTATGTTTGGATCTTGCGATTGTTTGTTATTTGGGTTGGGGTTTTTTTTAATGTTTTGGTTGCATGGCTGGAATAACCGTACTAAGTTAGAAATGGTGAGAGAGAAAAGGTGGTAAGGAAGAGATAATAGCTGTTCATGAAATTCCAGTCAGAAAATGTACACTTTTAGTCATAAAAGACATTCTTTGGGTTGAAATAGAAGTATTCAACAGATAAATACTATTGCTGTGCAGATAATGTTTCATAAAGGATTGTGTGCACAGTGGACATGGCTTCTGCTGTAATTTACTAAGGTTTAACTCTTCATTTTACATTCTCTGTAGAATTTTATTGTGACTTAACCAGGGCATAGGTGGAACTGCAATATTGCACTCTCTTCTTTCAGACAGTGTTTCAAGTTAGGAATGAAGCAGAAGCCCCAAAACAGCCCTTCGTTTTTGGGGGGTTCTAACTTGTACCTGACACTAAGAATCTGCTTACTCGAGCTGGGTCCAGAAGCTGTAATGCCTCATGGCGGAAAGATGGCTTATTCTTTTTACATCCAAGGAAGTTTCTAACAACCACGTACCGCATTGGGTTAATAACACAGCCAGAACATAATCGGAATATCTGGTATCATAAGTGATGTTGTTGATCTTGTGTGCTTTATATTATGTTGCAAAACAGCTTATCCCACCTTTTTTTATGTGATTGTGGGGCTGTTAAATGAAAGTAGAAAGTGAAAGTAGACCATATAATCATACTTATTAATGTGGAAGCCATGCTGAATATGCTTCCTGACATCCCCTTTACTTTAACCTATGTCTGTTTAAACTTCTCACTCGAAGACAGTGCTTAGGTGAAACAAAAGACATGACTATTATACACTTTTTTTAATGCCTATGTTCTGTCATACTAAGTGCCCTCTTCCCTCCTTTTAGATTGGTACAAAGGTTATCATGTGAGACATAAAGGATCAGAGGTAAGATCTGGCTATTCATTCCCTTGAGACTATTTTAAAGGAGTCAGTCCATGAAGACTCCTGTGAGGCTTAAATTCTTAAACACATCTCTAATACACAAAAAAAACATATTAATAAAGAAGTCAGTGATCTTATACCTAAATATGGACAGTCACAAATGAGTACTTTTTACCCTGGGTAGAATGACTCCTAGTTACAAAGCAAGAAAATTACTTTTCAGTTTCAAATGCATTTTTCTAGAAGAAATGCATTTTTTTGGAACTTAAGCTTAGTATCAGATTTTCTAAGGGAGCAGCATGGCAAAGATGCCTGAAGTTAGACTCATGCCTACATTATAGTAAAAATATTTTCTCAAAGTTGCTTCTCTGTAGCCTTGAAAATGGATGTATAAAATCTTTACAGCCACTGAAAAAGGGATATCTGGGGAGCAGAGGGACAGTTATTGCCATAGAACATGTTATCAGAAAAAATCAGAACAGTCTTACGTTGTCTATTCCTCCTTTTTCTTGTTCTGTCTTCAGTGGCTTGATAGGTATTAGCACTAACTTGCATTAACTTAAAGTAACTAATCTGTGTCTACCTTCAAATGTGTCACAGTAAAATATTTCACTTTATTTCTGGAAGTATTAGAGGCTTGATTTACTATTTCACTTCATTGCTCAGTGACTGCACATCCTAAAAGACAGAGGAATGAATAATTGTTTGTGATAATTATGCATTAATCATTTTCTCCAGACTTGTACCTGTTGCCTCTCAGGTTCTATGAGCTCCAATACAACTACACAGGACAGTTTATTTGCTTGCTTCCGTTTCTAGCTTGTCATGGACGAGGTGGAAGCCAGGCTAGTGATGAGGTAGTTCACCATAAATTTCTGTGGAAGCTGCCTCAAGTAGTTGCTATCAGCTGTCTGATATGCAGTAATTGAGGGTGGATATGGAAGTAGGGTAACCATCCTCTCATCCATTTAAAACTGCGGTTTAAATATTCCTTCGACAGTGCTTTTGGCTCAAAAAATGCTATTGCTGTTTATTCTAATAAATTTTTTATTTTGATTTATTAAAATTTAGTCTGAAACTGAAAAGGGAAAATATTTACCAGAAATTAACACTTTCTGTTAACTAATTCTTAATATTGCTAAAGGGTTTGATCAAGTTGAACAAGTATAGCATGCTTTAAGAAGTGCTACTAATTTCATGTGCTATGATTTCACTAAATTTACTATTAACAGGACCTTCTTTTTCACTTTCCTTCTTCGTGGACTCTTTTGAACTTAAATCTTAATGAAAAATTGTGGAAATGGGAAGACATTATTGTGTTCTGATTAACATCTGATACTAAAAGAAAATGGCTATAGAAGCTGAAATCTAACTGAGAGAAAGACTTTGTAAAGCACCACCTATGGATGCCAGCTCTTGAACAAAGAATCCAAGAACCTAGCCTGATTACCAGTGCTGGTTAATGTGAGGGTTGTCATGGACGAACTGATGCTCAAACATTCATTTAGGATGACTTAAAACATTTCAGCTGTTGGAGAGCAAGGACGTATCGCATTAGGTCGTTTTGTCTGGTGGCTATTTTTTTCTGCGCAAGTCAAAAATTTGGTGCCTCCTTTGCTATAACTTGTTCAGCATTTTACTGCATGGCCCTAGGTAGTAGAAGATGAGACCGTAATTTCAGGTGTGGTGCTGCTGTGGACACCTAGGAGAGCTGAGAGGTTATGGCTTTAGCAAGAGTCTCCCTCCTTTTTGCATGGCAAAATGAAAGGTTGCTCTATTTTTTAAAGCAATTTTAGTCTTATGCACAGTGTTCTTGGCATTTATGCTCCGAAATAAACTTTGAGTTTACTGTCCTTCATGTCAGTGGCCATTTCTCAGCCTATTCATCCTGAGTGATTTCCTCTGTCAATATTTCTTTCGCTAGATGCAATGATTTATATCAGCATCTCTCCTTTGTTTCGATAAGTGGGCTTGCCTCTAAATTAGGCTGCAGTTTGCCCCAGAATGAGAAATGTTTGGGCTGATGCACAAAGAAAATGTTTCCTCACTGTATTTACACCGTATGTGCTGTTTGGGGGAGCACGGCGGGGAACAGGCGTCAGGGGTGGTGTTTCTTATCAAGAAATGTCATTCTATGCATTCTATATTTGCAGAAAACAGTATAGAAAACCTTTTATTTGACTGTCAAGCAGAAATGCATTGAGATGGATTAGATAGGCAGCAGTTAATTTGGAGATTGTAGCTTACGCTCATAATCAGTTTGATGAAGAAAATATGTAAGTGGGGTTTGGGAAGCTCTCGTTTTTTACTTAAATGTCCATAGAGAATAAGAGTGGATTTATTTATTGAATTTTATTTATTATTTTAGGGAATATTTCCTAAATCTTTCATCCACATCAAGGAGGTTACCGTTGAAAAGAAAAGGTATTGAATTTAATCGTTTTATTAATTTAAGGATCTTGTTTGCTAAAGAATGAGTTATAAGGCATTTGTAATATAAACCCATGAAACTCAGACATTCTTTTTCACTGTTGTTAAATTTACTTTTCTTTTCTAGACAAACGGAAAATGTAATACCTGCTGAAATTCCTTTAGTTCAAGAAGTTACCACTACTCTCTGGGAATGGGGAAGCATCTGGAAACAGCTCTATGTGGTATGACCCTTCTGCACGCTGTGTGGGGCCTGTCAGCTAGTCCTACTCATGCACAGGGAGGCCTTACTCAAAGTAATGTCTTTTCCTAGATGCAGGGAAGGATCTGTGAAGATTTAAGAAATGACTTCTTCATAATTCCTTAGCTGAATTACCATTTTTTTTCAATGGCTTTCTGCTGAGGAGTGGTGTAACTTCATGCTTTTAGTTCCAACCTTGAGTATCTGGTACAAGATAAATTTTTCGTAATTGTTCTTTGTATAGTTGACAAGTTTCAAGACAGGAGTATCAAATCTAACTAACATGCAATTGGGAAAGATTCACCATGTTCTTGGGATGCTAGAACAGAAGTTGTTCCAGTGTTACTAGGGGTGTGTAGCTATTAACAACTGGCAATTTCAAGGAGTCGATCTTTTTACTTTCGGTATCCTAGCTTTATATTTCTTAAAGAAAAATGTATTTTTTTCCATCTTGAAGAAAACTGTTGAGCTCTTTTACCAATACATAAAAGTGCAAGGCATTTGGAGGTGTTAATCAAAATACATCAGCATCTGTATTCCTTGTAAGTAAACAACCTGTAGTCCTGGTGGTCTTTTACAAATACTTGCAATGCCCAGGGTGTAGTATTGAACTGTAGAAGTCCATACAAGCTGCTTAAAGTTTAACATCCTTTCTTGCCAGTCACGTGCGAGATTGTGTCCTTAATTTGTGGGGTGAAAGAAGGAAGGAAGCCAGGTTCAGGACTTTGCCTAATTTTTGCTCCTGCAACCATTTAGTGTTAAATATGACACATCCTTTAATTGTCAAGACCAAAGTTTCACCTCAATTTGAAGCCTGATACCTATTGTTTTCTTTTATATCTTAGGCAAATAAGAAGGAGCGGTTCCAGCAGGTGCAGTCTATGATGTATGACTTAATGGAGTGGCGGTCACAGCTTCTATCTGGGACTTTGCCTAAAGATGAGCTCAAAGAACTCAAGCAGAAAGTCACTTCCAAAATAGACTACGGTAACAAGTAAGTGTCCTACATTGCTACCAGAAAACATCATTTGTTTTCATGTGCCCAGCTACAACAGCAACAGTGACCAAGTTTTTCTGTTTGCATCTCATTAATGTGAGATGTAAACAGACTGACTCTTCCTTTTCGAACTTCTCCCCGTGTTACTCCTGTGATAATGGCAGATATTGTGTTGTCCATAGCAAAGGGCTTTTACAGAACATTTATTTATCAGTTATATATCTATGAGCTTGTCAGTAAAGATTTGAGGTCTGATAACTAGCTTTTATATACATATAACATCAGTGTACTTGGGACCCAGAATTTGTCCATCTTCTGCAAACAGAGCCTACCTCCTAGCAGTGTTAGGCTGCCACTTCAGAAGTGGTGCTGACAGACCTTAGCATGGTGGATGAACAGCAAAAGTCAGAATTGTACAGAGCCTTTGCTAAAGGCACCACACCAGCACCCTCCCTCCTCTCACTTTACTGGGGAATTTCCAGGAGGAGCTCTGGTTCTGGCACTACAAGTGCAACTACCAAGGCTAGAATAGTTTTCCGACAAAATGCCTTGTCTGCTTATTGCCAATGAAAAGTCATTGCAATACAACATGTTTTTGGCAAAAATGAGGTTAGATGGGGTTGAGTGTTGTTCCACCATCTGATAAAGGGGAAGAGAGAGCTTAGGAAACAAATCTTCACGGTGTTGGTTTTGCAGCCATCGGAATCTGGTTATAAACTGTGTTTAGCTATTGCAAGTGACTGTGGTTATTGTGGCCTCAAGGCCCAGACACAGCGGAAAGTTTTCAGGTACCTTTAGCTAGTCACAAACAATGACCACAGGATGCTGCAGAACTCTTAACTTGTTCATTGCGATTTGGATGCACAGATTTCTGGTAATTGTATCCTGAGGGAACACACTGTGAGAATACACACATCCTGCTACATTATGTGGAGCTGAATGGTTACTCCAAGATGGATTTTACTTAGAAATGCTCCAAAAAAGCCTAGCTCGGATTAAGACAACACTAACTTTACTTTGCTTTCAGACTTTTGTTTTCACGCTCTAGAGGCAATGTCTAAAATGTTTTGGGATTGTATAGAAGGAAAGTGCAAGTTCGAAAGTATTTATAAGTGCCTGAAGGTGTGCCGTTGAGTCGTGATGTGTGAAGGAAACTTGCCAAACTGTGGCGAAAGGAGTAAAGAGGAGTGACAGTGAAGGCTACGTGGGTCATTGTGGGGGAGGAGATTGAACGTCAAATCAGGAGAGGTTGTGCATAATCGTGTAAGGTGCTGAAGACAGCTTGGAGTCTGATAGAGACTGCTTCAGACAGCATGAACTGTGCCCTAAGGGCAGCCACGACATATTAGAAATTGTGAAAGGTACAGTCTGGCATGAAACCAGTTTTAGAGGGAAATGGAAGAGAGAGATTCTGGATAGTCAAGAAAGGATAGCTCTTGGCTGAGGTGACACCATGGGTAAGGGGATGTAGGATGTATGGAGGTAAAACTTGAGTTTTAAGCAGAGCAGAAGGAAAAAATGAGTAGTATGAGAGCAAAGGAGAGCAGAGCATAGTAATTTACGGGACTTGGAGAGTAAGAGAGCCTCTTGATTACAGAGGTTATACACAAAAAACCAACAGAGATGGCTGCTTAAAGGCATTGAAGGTGATGAATCTATTTTATATGATAAGCATTTAAATGCTTTGGTGACATTATATTTGTTTTCATGCTCTTCTCTTCTTTCTTAATTCCTAAAATGGGTAAATACTCTACAAAAGCTTGAAAATAAAATCATGGGGTTTAGTTAATTTTTTTCTGGAGTTACATACTGCTGCATGTATTTAAACTTTATGGCTTTAAAACTTGAAGCGGCTCCTTGTCCCTTACATTTCTTAGTTTTATTTTTATATATAATATAATTGTATATAACGACCCTGTCATTATGCTCTTTATATTTTCACAGGATACTTGAGCTAGACCTAATAGTTAGAGATGAAGATGGAAATATCTTGGATCCAGATAAAACCAGTGTCATCAGCCTGTTTCATGCACATGAAGAAGCAACTAACAAAATCACTGAGCGAATTAAGGAGGAAATGGTAGGAGTGACTGGCTAGACTTAACGCTTCTTTAGCTAAAATCAAAATGAAAAAACAGTGCAAAGGTTGAAGAATGTAATCTTCTACCATAAAAGTTGGGGGAAACTTTTGCTTCTGGCTGAAGCAAGGGCAGATTCACACTCGTGTAATAAATACAGCTTAAGCTTCAAACTGAGTGAGTAGCATTTGTGCACTGGATTCAGGCTGTGGGCTAGATTAACAGGCTGTGTCAAAAGCTGGTTCTAAAACCATTCCTGGCTTCCTAAATAGAAATACTCTCCTTATTCCATCAGTGGGGTACTCAACAGGCTGATTTGTGTAGTGAATAGTTTCATACTTGCAGTTGAGGCTGCAAGCCAAAGAAACATCTCTCATAGAAGACATCACAACAACACGAGTTGTTTTGCTGTGTGTTGCTACTTGTTAGTTAAGTCTGATGGAGTTGAATTTAAGCTCACTAAACAAATTCGAGTGATCTCAGCATAATCTTGTAGACACCAAATGTTACCATGCTGACACAAAGCTGATGAATGCATCAATTTCGTTGCTTAAAATGCAAAGCAAGTGATTACACTTTATTGACCTTTTCCTATATTAAATCTGCTCAGGGACTTGTTAAGATATTTGAGTTCTTTTCTTTGTTCTTGTGAAAATTAACAGTAATGATGGAAGTAAAACACTTCAGTAATGCCTATAAGAAATCACTGGAAAAAACCTTGTGAGTTGTCCTCATGAGTGTCACTACATAAATCTTGCTTCCCAGACATGAAAATGTAATTAACCAATAATATAAGGAAAATTAAACTTGATAGTCTGCCACGCAGTCTTCTTTTAAAAGCAGAGCCAAGCAATGGATAAAAAGAGCTTTAGGCTATCCAATGCTAGGTAGCTATTTCTATGTGGTTAAAATGAGATGTAGGTAGAAAGTAGGGGATTATTTTACAGGCAGTGGTTGAAGAACTGGCCCAAGATATAGAAGTCATAGAACCACAGAGTATCTCAAGTTGGAAGGGACCCATCATTAAGTCCAGTTCCCAGCTCCCTTCTCTTAAAGGGGTTGAAGTTCTTACAGCACAGCAGAAATCTTGTCAGATCTTCTGTGCAGTATTTTATAAAAATTTTAGCAAAGGACTTCAGAATACTTCCCCTGACAGCAGCCTCGTTTTCTTAAGAGGTGATGTTTTGAGTACATTCATATACAGGAGGGAAACCTATTCCAGCTCTTTTGTCATGAATGAAAGTAAATATAGTAAATCAAGAAAGTAAGTGTCTGGAGGTGAAGAAGGAAGGAAAGAGAAACAGCTTAACTATTATTTTCCTTGGAAATATTCATAAAATAAAATAATCCCTGTTCCATTTCTCAAAGGAGACACCTACCTGCAAAGCATAATATGCTTAGATTCTCATACCAAGGAACATCTTATTTATACAAAGTCCCCACGTGCTGCAAAAAATTCATTTAAGGTATCTCTGTCGTCAGCTCTTTCATATTTGCTCACCGAGGTAACTCCCTAGTCTGGGTGCAGTATTTTGAAGAACCCAGTCTGAGCAATCTGAGCTCTCTGGATGCAAGGAGGTAAAGAGGAAAGTGGGATTATAGAGAAAGACCTTGATAATTACGGAGCCTGATTGTTAACATAGCAATGCCAGTTTGCTGGAAACAAGTATTATAATCCAAATTTTCTATGATTTTTGCAGACAAACTGTTACATATCATAAAAAATAAAACTGTTTGTAGCATCTTGCCATTTTAAGTCAAAGATCTAGCTAATTATTTTTTCCTTCTGAGTAGTCTAAGGACCAACCTGATTATGCATCGTACTCCCGAATGTCTTCATCCCCCACCCACAGCTTATACGTCTTTGTGCGGAATTTTGTTTGCCGAATCGGGGAGGATGCAGAACTCTTTATGTCCCTATACGATCCACAGAAATCAACAATTATAAGGTAAGTTTTCTTTTTTGCTGCAAAAAACTAGCAAAAGATGCTAGCCAAAATGAAGTAAAATAGTTGCCAACATGCTAGTAATGCAGAGAATATATAAATAAAAAGAAGAAAATATAAAGGAAAGTGCTGACAGATCTAGTTGTTGGCAAGCTACTAAAGAATTCTAGGGTAAAAGATCCCCAATATTTTGATAAGTAATTCCTGGATTGAACATTTGAGAATTTTGGGGAAGCCTGAGACCACTTCAAAGTTAAAAGTTTATTCTTGATGGTGTCTGGAGTAAAGGCCTGAAACCAGCAGAAGGGGACAAAATAGGAGTGACTTAGAAATTCAGAGTCAAAGTTTCTGTTGAGTATTCCCATCACTCTGGTGATGGTAATGTTTCCTCCAAAAAAGCTGCCATTTGGTCTTACATTCCAGTTGTTTTTCAAAACTTGTAGATGGCATTTTTGTACAGCATTGCTTTTGTCTTTTTAGTCTGGTATTAGCTTAAAACAACCACCACAGACTATTGTCTGTTACGCAAACTTTGTTATGTACTGTGGTTTTTAACGTACTGTGAAAGGGAAGAATTTTTAAATCACATGACAACAAGATATTTATCTTCAAAACAGTGAGAACTACTTGGTGAGGTGGGGGAGCAAAGGCTTTCCAAAGGAAATCGATATGCTCAACAACCTTAAAGTGGTGTTCACAGTAAGTGTTTTCCAGTTTACCTTTATATTTGCAAATCAGATTCTCTCTTCTCTGTGGTCACTGTCAGAACTCCTCAGGACTGAGCAAGATGAAGGAGGAAGCATAAGTAATCTTAGAAACAGAGCAGTCATTGGGTGCTTTAAAGCAGGGACAATACTTCAATGTCTTTTCTTCAATTTGCTGCTTCAAATTCACTGATGACTTGGTATTTGTTTACCTGCTATCTCTCTTGACTGATGCTGTTTTCTTATTTTTTTTTAACTTATATTTTATTCAAACTTCAAAATGTCTCGTTTTTGATCCTTTCTGTGGGTTCAGCTTGTTAGATTTTTTTTTTTTCCGCATTGATAACTGAGGCTCAATTTATTACTTGAGGTCCTGTTTAAATTTCACAGCTTGGTTCTTCCCCTAGCAGTATTTCAATTCTTTTTGTGTGTGTGTGTTTGTATCTTAGGATCTTGGAAATAAAGACCTTAGCAGAGACAAAATTTATTTAGTTTGTCAAATAGTCCGAGTTGGAAGGATGGATCTCAAAGACAGTAACTCCAAGAAATACACACAAGGACTAAGGCGGCCTTTTGGAGTGGCAGGTAACTGATGTCACCTGTGCTGTGTTTGAAGCAGGACCCCAGTGACACTTGCCAACTCTGGGCCATCGGATCTCTATCCAGACATGTCAGGACCCAAAATAGCTATAGCAACTATCCTCCATATTTCAGTTTTTAAGTCTATGAAGACTGTACCCAAGCTATAGCATTTTAGTTCAAGTCAGAAATGTGCTTTAGAATATAAATTCCTAATAATTCACAATTGCTGCTACACAGCGCAAGCCAAAGCGCGGTACCAGAGTATAATAATAGAATTCCTTGCAGATGAAATAAAACCAATGCTTCCTGTCCCCGGAGCACCACCGATGCACTCACACCTGTATTTGCAGGTTTATACTCAAATTTGAAGTAATTCTCCTTTTACACATCGTCATGTTTGTAGCATGGGTTTTGCACTAAATATTAAACACAATGTTCATCATTGATAGATAAGAGCTATTTTACAATGCTATTTATGTTTTGATGACTTTTCTTTCTCTCTTCTAGTTATGGATATTACAGATATCATAAAAGGAAAAGCTGAAAGTGATGAAGAAAAGCAGCATTTCATTCCTTTTCACCCGTAAGATAGTAATAGATTTTATTTTTTTTTAACATAAAAGATTTCTCTATATTTTTGGCTGTAACAATCTGAAATGTTTCAAGAACAAATATTTCCTTTTAATGCTTTTGTGTTGTAATAGTGCTAATCATTTAAGTTTAAAAGGCATTTAAGACTTGACAGAGGTTATATAGCACGTTCAATGAATGTGTATTTCTTTGAATGTTGTCCTTTGGACAACTGATACCACAGCCTATTCAACAAAACCTAGGTTAAATAGTTAAACGTGCTCAACAGTAAGCTTTATAAGTACGGATAACTAGTAATTTATGTGCTTGATTCTGTTTTGAATTTGAGAGAAATCTGAGTAGGTTTCAGTTAAAAAGTAGTTGAATTGTCATACATTAACCATCTGGAACAGAAATGCCAGACCAGCTGCATAAAAATGTGGCACTTGGAGCAGAGACACAGAGATGCCAGAGATTCACTGGAAAAATATTTGTGCTTTCTAAGTAGCACTGCTGCCGTGCACTACGGAGAACAAATTTAATTCTGAAAGACCCAAGTATGACACACTGGTTTAGTATTGCACTTGTTTACAATTTGATCCAACATGTTTATGTGAGAATTTGTTTCTCCTTTCAAAAGTAGCTGAAAAAAATTGCCAAGTTCATTTGTCAGGCAGTTTATCAGGGAGAGTGGACTGGACTGGCACTCTGGTGAGTGCATTCACATCATGTGTTCCTACAAAATGACAACCTTTCATATCACCAGTGTGTAACAAAATACAACTCCTAAAGTTATCAATGTAATTGTTTTGCCTTCAGTGTACACACAAGCTTAATGTGAACGCTTGGCAACTCGTAGAGAGAGAATGAAATTACAGAACATTTTCTGACAAGGTCAAGTACAGCCAAGAGGACAGAGGCTGTTCGTCATCTGTGTTCCGAATAGTGTTTGATATATCTAGCATTTCATTCCTAGTAGACATCATTGTTTTTTGTCCTGCAGGGTAGTGGCAGAGAATGACTTTTTACACAGTCTCCTAAGCAAAGTCACTGCGTCAAAAGGAGACAGTGGTGGGCAAGGTAAAGTAGATGGATTTTTTAAAAAAAAGTTATTATTTATTAGGTAAAATGACAAGGATATTTTCTGGAACTTCTTTTTATATTGTTTACATTCTAGAGAAAGACTTTTACTGTAGAGCTGTAGCATCACCATGGAGGTGAGTTAACTCTGAACTTGGAAGTGAAGATCATGAATTGACTGCAGAACCTTGGTGTCTGTTTAAATCAGTAGCTAGAGTTTTGGATGATTCTGTGGTTATAGAGCTTTTACTTTTCAGCTAAGGGAAGCGGAGGAAGTTAGTTCTTATCACTGTTTGGTGGGTAGAAGAGGCAGTCATCCGAAGAGGGATTTTACTTGTTTTTTCTTAGCTCAAATGGAATCTTTTTTTTTTTTCTTCTCTTAATAGGTCTCTGGGTAACTGTGAAAATGCTTGTTGGAGATGTGATTCAAACTAGGAAGGACTATCCGCATCTTGTAGACAGAAACACAGTTGTTGCTAGAAAACTAGGATTTCCTGAAATAATCATGCCAGGTAGGAGGTGCTTTGTTCTGTGTTAGGAATGGGTTTTTTTTTTTTTATTCCCCAGGTTGACGAGCATCTGCTGCAGCCTTTTTTACTTGCGTAAGGGGTAATTCAGAGCCTCTCTAGAATTCACTCTTCATAGTAAACTTTGTTCCGATATTAGAGGCTTATATAAAATCGTGAAATCTTAGGAAAGTATTTTCTGGTACTTAAACAGAGAAAATAAAATCAAGACAGTGAGGAATAATCCCAGCTATTTGTGTCTTCTGAGTAGATTATGGCAGATTCTTACTTGAATTTTAACCTAACATTATTGGTTTTGTAACTTATCACTGTCCTTAAGTAGTAATAAACATATGAGTTTAAAATCTCTTGATTTTTTGGACTTAAAAGTGCTTTTAAAAATCAAGTCACTCAGAGTCTGCAGTGCTCCTGTTTAAAAAGCAAGCAAACAATCAAGACCCAACCCCTTCCCCAAACCTTTCAATTCAAATCTCGAGACTTCTTTTAAAACAAGTCATTCATTTCTTCACAGAAGAAAATGAAAATATGAAGCTTCCCCTAGAGAGCCGTGTATTTGGGGAAAATCCAGTAATTGCATCATCTGCCAGTTACCAGCAGGTGACAGTGCAGGACGAGAATTGCTTCAAGTCTCTTTGAGGACTCCCATTCGGTTAATTGTAGTATCTTAGCTAAGAATAACAGATGAAAATTCAAGTTTAGATGGAAAATAAGATGTCTTTATCTGTTTCACTCTAGAAAAACAGGTACTCCTGTGAAGTTCAGTTGACCCTATGCTCTCACAGCATTTTCACTGATTTTTAACGTATTCCTTTTTGTAGGAGATATAAGAAATGACATTTATATTACACTGCTGTATGGAGATTTTGATAAATACAATAAAACAACTCAGAGGAATGTGGAAGTGATAATGTGTGTCTGTGATGAAGAAGGAAAAGTGATGCCAGTAAGTTTTCTTTTTTCTGTATGATGGACATAGAAACATGAGTTACATTATACGAGTAAGCCTTGAACTTCTTACAAATTTCTATAAAATACAATCGTGCAAGAACTTGTAGTTCCCTCACTTGTGTCATCCTGTGACATCTCATAACTATGTTTTATGATGTTTAAAGTACCTTATCTATTGAAGTCCTATAAATGTCTTGCATAAAACTGTAACAAGAGGTAAAACTGAATGACCTATTTTAGCTGTGCCGAGGAAGAAAAGCAGTTTCTGACAATTACTGCATTCTTACTCTAGGGTTTTCTTGTGGAAATTCCCAGAGGAATGCAGTCTGTACATTAAAATGTTGACGCTATCATCTCTGCTACATAGCAAACTCTTGATTTGTGCCAGGAAGACACTGTCATTGTCCCTTGGAAGAAGTACATAGCAAATCACTACATTAGTGACAGGAGAGGAGTGTGAGCAATGTACACAAGCAACATAAATATTTTACATTGTCTTTTGCTTGTCTATTTCCATTCTGAGGAACTTTTGTCCTTTCCTTAGGACTTTCTAACACCAGTTCAATATTCAGGGGGATTTTTGGCCTTTCCTTTTTTGAGCTTTCTACTGTTCACCAAATCAATACTGTCATCAGGAGGGTGAAATCATAAAGATGGTGTAACTCATTGTGGCTTATGACTTGCTCAAGTATGTTTATGAACTACAATTTAATGTTTTGCTAAAAATTTAAAGCTTAAATAAAAACCCTAAATCCATATAATGCTTAGGGTGTACACAAGAAACCGTGACGCTGATTACAAAACACTACCTACACACAGGAAAGCATCTAACTTCATGACTTGCATGTGCAGGACTTAACGCTGTTGTGACATCAACTCTAGTCTGTCTATTCAAAAAACATTAAATGCTTAAAATACACATACCACAGTACTCCTTAAAGAAATTAGCTTATTGCAATGCATTATACCTTGCATTCCAATATTAAGTATGTTCAGTTCTTGCAGATGCCTCCTTCTGCAAATACTAGGAGAAAGTGGATTTGTCGCTTTGTCTATGATCTGACATATATGTGCAAATCATGGCTGCCTATTATCTGTGGGTAATACGCTGTAGACTTGTCTAAGTAATAATTTTAAGGAGTTAATTGAAAAGCTGTTGAACATAAGTAATTAAAAAGTAACTCTTTTTCCCTTTTAGCTTCCAAAAATAGGTTTGAAGTTTTATTGATATTCATCGATGAAGGTTATTAATTTCAATGTTTCTAATTATCCATGATTCAAAATTGGTATAGACTCACCAAACAAGAAACTGGTTGACTCTCTTCAGGTATCAACGTAGTTCCAGTTGGACAGCTGGCACTAGATTTACTGTTACAAGTTAAAGGCTTTTGTTCCAAGTGAAAATCACAGAATACACCCAAACAAGTTGGTGCGTAAACCCTGAAGCATCTCTATCCAGGCAGATATCTCTATGCAGACCTTCCCACAGTCAAATCGCTCTGCCCAGACCTTACAGATATTCAGGTGTCAGCATCACCCCCTTCTTTTCACAAGACATCCTGGTGCTTGAAGGACACTTCTAAGATTCACTAGATTTCCAGCAGGAAAATTGCACCTTCCTGTGTGTCTTCAGTAGAAAATGTAATACATTTGCTTCTTTCTTGCACTTCACTTTCATGCCTGATGCCTGATGTCAGTGATTTTGCTTCCCCAATTATCAACATTTTCAATTACTTTGCATGTACAATCCTCAAACACCATCAGCTAGGACAGACAGATGTAGGCCAAGGCTCTTCATAGATTCATGGAAAAAAAATATTTCCTGAGTTACACAAAAGTGTGCTTCATCCAAGCTTTACATGGGATGTGTACTACTTCTCTTACCTGTTAGCAAATGGGAAACTCTAAATGTTGAAAAAATGCAGGAGGGCATCCTGGATTACTTTGGAAATTACCTCTGGTAGGCAGCCAAACACAGGTTAAAGTAAATAGAGAAATGATTGGACTAATGGAGTTACATTATCTTTACTTTGTTTCTTCTACTTGCTTCCTTGGTCAGGTTGCCCGACAGGGCCCTGGAGCCAGACTGGCTCAATCTCTGGGTCTATTAGCCGGGGGAAAGGTTTGCTCTGGTTTGCTCCGGGGCCTCACAGGTGGTGGCCGTGCCGTGGCGCCCCTGGGCCCGCAATGGCCCAGCCCACCTGTGCAGGGGCTGCAGCGGCTCCGGGCGCGAA